AGCAGCGTGCTGCAAGGCATATACGCCGGTCGGTGAATAAACCGGTCACTCACGGCAGTAAGAGACGTACAGCATCTGTGCCATGATCTCGTCATCCTGCATCTCGGTCTCTCCGGCGTCGGTGTCGGTCGTCACTGCAGGCAGATAGTCAGAGTCGCGTCGGGGAAGGGCAGAAGAGTACGCACTGAGCACACTGATGATGTCTTGGCCTCCACTGACCAGCTGCGTGAGCTCGGCGTCGCCCTGTGCGAGCAGTGCCTTCTTCGACTGGAAAAGTCGGACCGTACAACGGTCCATGGTGTCCACAATGCCGAGGAAATGATGGAGATCTGCCCACGGGAGGCACACCGCTATGGATCGGAGAAGCTTGGAGGGCCAGTGCGTTACGAGTAGGAAGATCGGGAGGAAGAGGTTGAGTCTCGACATCACAAGCCTGTAGACAGTATACGCGTGAGTGGGAAATTCAAGGAGCGACGATGTGGAACGCACATGAACTCTTTGATAGCGATGTTAAACTCGTTCTTGTCAGCGCCGTATGTGAAGTCGTCGAAAGAGTGCCCAAGTCCTCCCTGTGCAATCATCTCGAGCACGAGCCGGCCGAACCACTCCACGATATCAAGTTCCATGGGTCCATCCGTGATTTGTGATCGAAGCGCATCCCGAAACTGGATCAAGTTTGTGAGCATACTTGCGTAATATACGCAAGACTACGCGGTTGACCTGGTCGGTGATTTTATGGAGCAATGGTACCATTGACCGGATGCGCGAGGGCGAGAAAATCGGGTTCAGGAGCTTGCGCTGTCTACGGTGCAGGGCGCCTGAAGGATGGTCATCTGCTCAATGCAGGGGAGGCTAGAGAGAAAGGTACGGACCAGTCGACGACAGCAACCCAGGCCCGACGGCGTGGCGAAATAATCTGTGGGTTATGCGGAGATGTCAGATCACGCTGACCGATGCAGCCGTGCAGATCTTACTCGGTGAACCACTCGTGTTGTTCGAAGGTTTCCTGCTGCTTGATGAGTATGCTCGTGAGAGCCACGGGATCGGAGATCAAAAGGATCTGGTCCTAAAGGTAGGGGTGTCAGTCGGCTCAGAAAGTGACGGAAAGCATTTACTTACCCAAAGAGGGCCATGGAATCGCGAGACGGTCCCGTAGTTCTTCCAGACGTGCTTTCGGAACTCGAAACCAGACACGGCGTCGAACATCTGCAAGAAATTGCCTGGCATACGACATAAGTATAGCTAAGCGACTGTCGGTTTGAGCACCTACCTGTCAGAAAGGATTGGCAGGGAGGCCCTGGTATGCGCCAAAGGACCATCTGTCTGATCAGGTGCGGGCACAATGAGTACAGGGCGAGGATGATGGTTAGAAAGGCTGCGAGAAGACTCGCAAGCCAAACGAGACCGTGAAGCGAATAGTCGGAAGACATGTAGCTGCAATGAATTGACGGGACTGACTCTCTACCACTGCGACTTATATCAGTCTTTGCCCTTGCCGTGTTCTCGCTCAGCAAAGTCATACCGGATGAAGGGGCTGCGCGGCGTTGACTGGCACAGGGTAATGTATAGCTGAGTTGGTATGAATATAGACTGTCGTCAGGGCTCTGCGAAATAAGTCAGGTTTACAGCACTCCAAACCTTTTCCTAAGTTACCTTTGGCAGACACGCCCAGGGTCTCTTGAATCCCAAAGATTCGACAACAGTGTTGCCGAACGCCGAAGCGCTGGGACGGTACTTGCACCAATGTTTGAAGGGTTCCAGAGCACCACGCACGACACGACGAGCCGACGCTCGTGCAAAGCCGTTAGTATCGCACACGCTGCCATCATCCATCGAGAAAATGGGCTTTTTCTCGAAAGAGTATGTCGCTCCTTCGAAGATACGAGCCCCACACTGACTGGCGATCGGTCCCTGTGACAAACGCTTTCCCCCTGCTCTCCAATCCTCGCTGATGCTTCGGCTCGCGTGGACACTAAGACGCCTTGATGCTGACGATATCGGGGAAACCAATGGCGAAGGCGATCCTGAGATCCTGAAGCGCTAAAGGAGATATACTGCCGCCGCCCTAGTGAGACAGAGTCCAAGGAAGAAACGCCCAAATCAAGCGCGGAGCAAGGAGGGCTCCAGAATGTCTTACACCCAGGATACAACCGTAAACGGCTGACTCGGGAGTATGGTGTCTGATTCTGAGGAACCGAATGCGAGTGGTACATCGATGGTCTGTATTTGTACGCCGTCGAAGTGGATACACCGAACATCTTGTGTGGCGCGATCTGGAGTTGGTCTGAGGGTCCGCGGTCCGTGGGTATAGGCAGCGATCTCAGATAGGCAGGGATCAAAGTGATGGTGTCGTATGTGAGTTATGCAACTCACGCAGGTTAGAGGCACTGGTAACACGGCGGATGTCAGATAAACCAGCGGATGCCGGGTAAGCCAGTGTCGGGTAAGACGGCAACTGATGTCGGCGGAGAAACTTGAGAGTAGATAGTCATTGTGATGGCATGGAACAAAGCTATCGGATAGTGCAGCGCCGATGCATGTATGCAATACTAAAATCTAGATCAGGAGCGTATGCTCCACGTCAAAAGGCTGGGTAGACTTCGGATCAGGCTCACGTACGACTCAGCAGCACGTCTAGCCTTTATGTTGAGGGTAACAGTGAGCGTATACGGTGGAGAGCGACGTCGATGTTGAATCGAAGAGGCCGAAGAGCGTGGCGACGCCAGCAGGACACTAGTAGTCAAAGTAGTACTACTTGTTCACCGACGGCATTGCCTCGGAGGAGGTTGTTTGTTCGTGTTGAGATCGGAAGCCGTCGCCCTCTTCAATTGCATAAGCGGCTTACATAATAAGCGTCGCGGGCCTCCGCTCGACAGACCGCCGCTGGTTCACTGGCACTGACAGTGCCAGTGGCACTACCCCGCGATACACTAGTACACGGGGCCCTGAATGGCCTCTGAACCTCGCGCTGCATATCGACTCACGACGCCCGACTCACCGCTCTCTCGCGTCGTCCTCTGTTTTCACCGCTCGCTCTTCGTCTCTCCCCACACCGACGCCATGGCGTTCTAGTCCGATGGATTACCGTCACCCACAACTTGTGAGTACGTAGTGCGGCGTATCGACAAACCCGGCCACGGAAGATACACTTCCCCGAGGTACCACTCAGGATCGCAGCAGTGCGCTTTCTTCTATTCTCCTTCCCTTTGCTACTGACGTCGTGCAGGATTAGGTCGGTATACGACTCCGACGTCTGCCCGCATCTGATGGTCGCGTGTCTGCGGTGGAACTAGCGAACTTTCCAGCAGCATCGCACTCGTCCACGCTTCCCTGTCTCGTACGTCACTTGCGCCTTAACGAGGCTCAGTCATACACTATCGCTTATGCTCATCGTGTATGAATTATTGTTCACCACTATTTAGCCGGACACCGGGCATGCCATCCCTGCCGCGAGCGGGAATCAAGCATTCTGACGGTGGACATACTGTTCTCGCCTATCAAGCCTCAGATATCATGCTGCCATCCCGCTCTTAGGGTGCGCCCCAAGTGTGCCCCCAACATTGGGCTCTATCTGCGGGATAAGCTAACTCTGTGTTCGTTCTATCGCGGACATCCCGGCGCGCAAGAAGGAATCGACTGGACACTCATGGGAGGGCCTAGCTCCACCGAGATCTGGCACGGCTCCCTGGTAAGCGAGAGCGCGATGTTCAGGAGTATATGGCGGATGGTGTGCAGTCTGTACGGGTACTGGATTGTCGTAGCGCTTGAACCAGCAAGATATCGCAGACGTTGGAATCATGGAGCTCACTTCTGGCAAACTCCGCAGCTGATCAACGCTCTTTCGAGGCGTACCTGAGGCTACATGCAGGGCTCGGAGATGACGCTTGGGCCAGACAGAACCCCTGCATCCGACTGCCGCCGCCACACGTCGACGCGACACGACAATGCTGCGATGAGCTGCAGCCCCGGCATATACGCCCGCCGATCGATAGGGAACGCCGTAGGATGATTGGAACACAACCGCCTGTCACCTCGAGGAGGAGCGGTGCACCGTCATGTGGGTTGACAGTTGTTGTCGTGGATTTCTGTCTTTGTGACCTGCGAGCTTCTCCTGGTCTAGCCAATCTGAGTGTAAGACATTCACTTACATGTATCTCTGTAGGGTCCACCCACATCGATGCCTTCATGCAGCCAAAACCCACCATAGGCAGTGTGGACAGACTAGATACTGCTCTAGTTGGAGCAGGTGCACCAACAGCCGCAGGCGATTCGGCAGCATATTGACACCGCACGCTTTCTTTCACCGAATGTGCTATGTTGGGGTGGAGCCACAAGCCTGATGCGCCTGCGACTGTGTCCTGAATGGGATTTGAGAGTGCGCAGCCAGGCATGCAGCTCACCCCGCACTGGAAAGCAAAGGTATGAGCTCAACCGGAAAGACTACACTGTTCTCGCACCCATCTCCATCTTCCCTCCTCTAGCCTGTCAAGCTCGTTTCGGCGCCCTCGCCTATACCACACACGCTCTTCTGCTTTCTTCTCACTGACGACATGTCCATCCAATATGAAAGCACGGCCGAGCTTCCACCCTGCACACCACCACTGATCCTCACGGCTTCCAGTGATTTCCAGCCCACCACTCCGGCCTTGTGGATGGACTTCACCACTACTCCGAACAGAGGCCAAGCGACCGGCTGAGAAATAGCAGAATAGGGCAGACACGTCGCTCGATTTCGTCTTCCTACTCGTGTCATCTCCCACTTGCAGGCAAGCGCGCCTGTCATCGGGATGTATGCGCAACGCAAGGACGTCGCGCTCTTTGAGCCGTGCTTGTTCTCCGTTGCGGACATCTTGCAGGAGGACAGTGCTCCTCGGGACTTGTCAATATTATGAGCTATCTCCGTTTGTTGTGTTCGAGTTCAAACAGCTTTCTCCCGTTCCATCACGTCTCACAGCCGCCTCCAGCATCCACTGTACCCGTCCCAAGCCCACCCTCATCATGGGCATATGGTGTAGATGGTTTATCACGCTCGCTTAGCATCTTTGCGTGTGCGAGAGGTCTCCGGTTCAAGTCCGGATTTGTCCATCAATTGAGTGATTTTGGACTGATCGTCCGACCTTTTGATGTACGTCTCTTCGTCGGTCCGTCGTGAGAGCGCCGAGGGTGTTTGTGCCGCTACACGCGTGGTGGGTGACGATCTGAATGAACGGGATACAATGATGTTTCAAGGGAAAGCGATTCAGGGTCTGTACAATGTAATATCTGTAGCATAATGGCCCGTTACAGTTTACCCTTGAGTTCCTCGTGCAGTTTCGCCAATTCCTCTTTAGGGAGTTCCTGTGTGGGCCAGCCGACAACCAGGCCTTCTGCGTCAGAGGCATATGGCTTTGGGATGACATGGAAATGGACATGGTCCACGAACTGCGATAAAGTCGATCAGCGGGTGCTCGCGAAAAGGTAGAACGTGACGAGACCTGGTGAGCGATCCGTCCGTTGTTCTGCGAATTTTGGCATGTTAGCTACACAGCATTCGCTTGTGTGGAGGATCGCACCTGAAGGATGTTATAGTTCTCGACGCCGAGGGCGTTCACGATCTTCTTGGCGATCGGCATTGCGTCGACGAGGTACTCGTCCGGAAGTTCGTGAAGCTTCTCGGCGTGGTCTATGGCATTGTTAGAGGAGAGATATGCGCATAGCATGGCTATTCGTATGCGTACACTTGGGAATGATGAGGGCGTGGCCTTTGGCGATCGGACCGATGTCCAGGAAGGAGTAGCTGGGGGTCAGGTGAGCACCGAGTATGATGCGTGAGCGACGGTAGAACGCGCACGATAATTCCGTCTCGATGAGCTTGTAGCTCGGAATCTCATCTATACACGGGCTTCAGCGCCGGGAGAGGAAAAGCTCTGGTCGCCGTACTCTTGATGATCTTGCAGAAGAGACAGGTGGAAAGGAGGTGCCTGCAGAGTGTATAAATTTTATATGAGTCGTGAAAGAATCTTGCCATACATGACTTACTTTGCGGTGGACGCCATCGTTGCAGCCTGAGAGAAAGAGCTTCCAGAGTCCCGGTCAGAGACGCGAGCGACTCGCTCGGCAAAGCTGCAGTGACGTCACCGACTCATACGGCCACGTGATACAGCGCTTAGCAACGGCGCGTCGCCGCCGTCGCGCGAGTCGCGCGAGTCGCAGAACGGCGACTTTGTTCGCGACTTTGTCCACCTCGTCTCGACCTCGTCCTGCAATGCCTCTTCAACTGCGTGGGTTCGGCGTCAGCGTTCTCTGCGACGACAAAGAGCTTCCACAGTATCACGTAGAAATGCACGGGGATGCCACCATCACCTGCTACATCCCTAGCGAGGCGGGAAAGGTGCGGATTGCTTGCTTAATACCTGGGCAAGGCTTTTATCGGAATCCACGACGCAGACCTTCAAGGTAATACTCGAAGACTATGCGCAATCTCACGGGAAAAGATGCTCTCTGTACCTGGACGGGAAACTCGCAGTCAAGTACCGCTCCGCTGCGACGAACAAACGTTTGTCCTTCAAAGGCATCTATACATCCGACACCTCCCTCAGCCTCTTTTCATTTTCTACTATTCCTGTCACAGGTATGGTACACTGTTTCTGCACTTCCAGCCAACTTCCCGCACGCTGAACGATGTTATTTGGTAGATGACGACGACGCTATGCCCCTCGACGCCACCTCCGACATTGGCGTGATAGAGCTGCGCGTCCATCGCGGAGCGCGAGGGAAGATGCGTACGAAGAAAAATATGAAAACAGTCGTACCAGGATCGTCGAAGGCTGGTCGGAAGACTCTGAGTCCGCACCCAGTGTCCGAGAAGAGCAAGCTCATCGGCTCACATTGTGTCGTGTACGTCCCTCTCTATCCCTCGAGAAAGTGATACTCAGATCAGGTTGGCTATGTAGATTAGGCCCAAGTGTCCAGGTTTCGCCTGCCGGTCCTTCGAGTTCCAGCGCATACAAATGGGTAACCATCGACCCCGAAGACCGCCCGTATGCATCATTCCGATTTCGTCATTTGTCGAAAGGTGGCCGCCGTCGATCTCTGTCTCGAAGACCGTACTGACTGTAGGCAGATGTACTCCTTGCACGGGGCATAATGTCATCGCGTCAACGCGAAGAAGCATATTCCAGCGGGACCGGGCCGGCGAATGGAGCGAAGTCTTCGTTGTCTGTTGCGGGAGGGTCCTCTAGCTTGGAACGACGGTCATCACAAGAAGAAAGTACAAGCATCAAACGCGAGGTACGTCGTTCTGATTTCTTGAGTGTATGCCGGTAAACTCATAGACCAGTACAGCCGCGTGTGAAGTACGATCCCGATGACTTAAACGACGATGAGGTGCGCATACAACGGCTGGAGGTGGGTGCACTACGCCTAATTTCTCCCCAACTCGCGACCGATTGAATGTCGGATAGGAAGAGCTTGCGGCCTCACGCAAAGGTGTCCAGGCTGTCGAGGCAGAACTGGCGCTGGCCAGGTCAAGAACTGCGGGCAGTGCGAACGCGAAGCTCAAACGCGAGAGGTCGGCGACGCCGATTCGTGTCGGTGAATGGGACGGGACCGTGATTGATCTCACGTCGGACTAGACGCCTATCGTCATGTGCGTATGGGTCGAATTCTTCGCTCTTCGTCGTTCTTTCTTTTTGGCTTGCACTGTGGGAATTGAATTGCGTTGCCACCCGATTACCGAGATGTTGTGAGGATCGTGGAGAGATCTAGCAGCCCTAGATTGGTTCCGCAACAAGCAAAAAATCAGCGCAGTTAACTGGATTGGGAAATAGTGCAGGTACGTCGTGCAACAAGATTGCGTACGTTCGTGTGGAATCAAGTTCTCTTACAGGGCGTGATGTATATGAACAATTGCTGCTATCCACCTTCTCAGGCTCGTTATGCACCCCGATCAATGCATCGGGCAATTATATGATGTCGCCAGGATGTCTCCTCCATGACGCAAATGCACAGGAGGGCTCGGTCAGCAGCAGCGCCGACTGACTGTGTTCCTTACTAAGCGGTCAGGATATCACGGAGGCGTCAGTGGATCCGTATCTGTTGGGTTCAAAATCTTCGGGTCGTGCACACGACTGTAAGATTTTGTTAGTCCCGCGGCAGAGTATAAATAGGATCTGAACAAGATGAGGATCACACCCCTCAAGTCAAAATGTCGATCATCACCTCCGATGAAGCCCTCCCCGTGACGCTTCGCCACGAGTAAGTCGCTCACCTTCCTATCCTAACCCGGCTCACCTTCTATCGCAGCGTATATCCCACCATCGACCCGAAGGAGCACTACGACGCGCAGACGTTCAAGGGCCAGGTCGTCCTGGTGACGGGCGCCTCGCGCGGCATCGGCCTCGAGACTGCCCTGCAGTACGCCCGCGCCGGCGCCGCCCTCGTCCTCGTCGCGCGCAAGCAGGAGACGCTCGACGACAGCAGAAACGCGATCCTCGCGGCGCTCCCGGGCGCGCAGGTCCTCACGTTCACCGCGGACGTGCGCGACGTCGCGCGCGCGGAGGAGGCCGTCAAGGCCGCGGTCGAGCGCTTTGGGCGCCTTGACATCGTCGTTGCGAATGCGGGCCTCCTGCGCCCGTTCGATGCCAGTGAGTGCCTGGGATTTGGAACATGACGGCTCTGTTGATGTGGGATGTTGTAGAGTTTGCGTCGAAGGACCCGCAGGGGTGGTGGGACGTGCTGGAGGTCAACGTCCGTGGTGTATATAACTACGTCCAGTGGGTCCTGCATTCCGGTGGCGCGGCACTTATGGTTGCTGATATACACCTGTGATGCAGCTTTGCTATCCCTGAGCTCCTCAAGACCAAGGGCAAGATCATCATCATCTCCTCAGGCATCGCCCAGAGGCGGGTGCCGATGGCGAGCGACTATGCGACGTCCAAATTCGCGCTGAACAGGTTCACTGAATTCGTGGCCCTTGGTACTTCAGATGTCCCATGCGCGTGTTGCCTCCGCTCACACATAGTTCTCCTACGTAGAGTATCCAGACGTCAAGGTGTTCTCGCTGCACCCCGGCGTGATCGCCACCGACCTGAACAAGGTGTCCGGCCTCACCTTGCCCACGATCGATACACTCGCGCTGCCCGCGGCCACGGCGCTCTACCTGACGTCCGGGAAGGCGGACTATCTCAGCGGCAGGTGCGTGCATGCGGTGTTTGCATCCGTGCTAAAGGTGCTGACGGGTGCTTGCCATTTCAGGTATGTGTCCTCGACATGGGACATGGGTGAGATCGAGCGGGACTGGAAGGAGAAGATCATCGCGCAGAACGGGCTTGTCAACAAGCTGTATATCCCCCAGTGATAATGATAGGGTAGCCTGTGATATAGATATGTAGAGCAGTAATACATGGACCGTCCATTCAATTCAAAGTGATAAATACATGCATACGGGATGTGAGCAGTGTTGCGTGGAGACGACTTTACTAGGGTACTGGTGAGATCAGTGGGGTTACAAAGGCTAGAAATAGCCCTCTCGTCGCGGGACGGACACTGGCGGCGGACGCTGACTTGTCGCGCTGCCCGGCCGATCGCGCGACCGCGGCGGCGGCGCGGGGCTGCCGCGTGCAGACCGCGACTGGCGCGCCCCGTCCACGAGCGAGCTGGGCGTCTGAGAGCGCACGGGGACGGGCGACACGGTTTGAACGTAGGCGGGGGACGCGCGTGCGGGCGTCGACGGCGTGGCCGGGCGCGGCGAGGGCGCGGGCGGCAAGGGCGGAGCGCCGGTTGGCGCGGCGGACGGCGGGGGGATGGGTGAGCGCGTGCGGGAGACGGAGGACGAGCGTGTGCGGGAGATGGGGATGGGCGGCGGGGCGGGTGTGCTGCGCGAGCTCCGCGGCGGAGCTTCGGGCACCTGTGGCTGGATGCGTACGACCGGAGGCGGCGGTAGGACGTGCTGTTCTTTGTCTTTAGGTTTGGGGTGCTCGACCAGGAGCTCGTCGAGGAGGAAGCGGAAGTCCAGCCCGTATTCTTGCAGGAGCTGAGGCGGTCCAGGTATCTATCAGAAAGGGCGAGAGGGGAGAGGCTGGGGCTGACCTTGCGACTTTGCGCGT